TGAAATAATTAATTAGAGTCAAATAAAAAGAAGAAAAATGCTACCGAACATCACAAAAAATATCCTGGAACATCATACTTACTGAACATCACAAATACATCGTAGAACATCACATTTCTGCTCGCGGACATCACAAAATATAGCATAGAACATCACATGTATACTACGTGAATATCATATATATTATGAAATGTAAAAAATAAAATTAGTGAAGTAATTAATTAGAGTCAAATAACACGGAAGAAAAGATGCAAAACAAAAACATGAATAACAAATGCTAAATATATAGAAAAAATGAATAATTTAAATAGGGAAAGAAAAAGAAAATTAACGAAAATCAAATGAGAAAACATGGCATGTATCCAATCTAATATATAAAATAAAAACCATAAAAAATTAAAAGTAAGTCATGAAAATGATTAAAATAAAAATTAGAGATAAATAAAAATAGAAAATAAAAAAGTCTATATAAAACAGGACTAAAAACTCAAAAATAAGAATGATATAAAGAAAAATAATTAATTAGAGTAAAACTAAATAGAAGAGAAAAAGAAAAACTAGTCGAAAAGAAGAATAAAATACGACATAAGACAAAAAAGAAAAGGAAAAGGAACAGAAATGAGTGAAAATAAAAAATAAAGTTTACAAAAAATAAAGAAATATAAATAAGAATAAAAACCTAAAGAAAAAAGGAACATATAAAGTGGTAAGAAAATGAAAAGAATAAAATTTCAAAAGAATATCAAAAGGGAAAAGTAAACAAAAAAAAGGCGAAAAGGAAAAAAAGATCACGTAACAGTGGAAAGAAAAAATATAAAAAAATTAAAAATAAAATAGCACATAGAAAAGAAAAGAAAAGAAAAAGGAAAAAGAACCAAAAAAGAAAAGAAAAGGAAAACTAACATACCTGGGAACTGGGTGTTTTGCGTGACCGCGTGGACCGAGCTCATGGGCCGTCGCGTGCTTGAACGCGTGGGCAGCGCTCGCTTGTACTCGCGGCCGACCGATCGGTAGCCATGATATGATTCCCGCAAATTTTTTAAAGACGAATAAATCTGGCGTCCCATCGTGCCACGTCTCCAGCTCTTCACCCGGCCACGCGTCCTCTGAACTGACCCAAGATCGACGCCTAACTTGTGGAAACGGGCCGACAGATCGGCCCACATGGCCTGGCCCGAAATCTTCTGCGAGCGCGGCACAGTACAGAGTGAAATGAAACATGGATGAAACACTCTTTCTCAATGTAAAGTTTCATTCTAAAGTTTCGTCGGCATTTAATTTTATGACTCATAAAGAGTTGGTAATCGTGTCAAGAGAGTTTCATCTAGATGAAAGTCATTTCTTCTCTCTTTTCTTAAATACACCGTCATGTCATAAAAAATATCTATGTGGCAACCTATTTGATGCAAATGAAATTCACATGAAACATGTCATCAAAACTTCCTACACCATCAAGTGGGAGTTTCATGTGACTTTTGTCTTGCGAAACTGCTTATTTTGGTTCGAAAATTGATTGAGTACCTTATATTTTATTAGGATGGAGCCATGGAATACCTCCAAATACGTGACTTGGCTTCTGTCGAGTGCCCTTATAAATGCCTTGCTCTATTATAGTACTCGAAGTGAAGTAGATCTAACTAGGCCACTGGGGTGCAAGAGAAGAACAGAAATGTCAACATCTTTGATATGCTGCACCTGGCTAGCGCTTGTTTGGGGTTGCTATCGCTTAATGGAAATAGTCATTGGGACTGCTCGGTGCATCTGGACGACGTTGAGGAACAGTGTTATTTTTATGGCAACAAGCAGAGGCGGAGCCACCACTAGGGTGAGCTAGGGAGGCCGCCCTAGGTCCCCTTGGCCGGGCACCATGTCCCCACCCCTGGAGGTCGCCGGAGTTTGAGCTGAAGGGCGGAGCAGCGGAGGCGTGGCGCTGGTTATTTTACGCGAGCACTACCGGAAACCGGCTCTTTGCCGAGTGTTTTTATGTTTGCCGAGTGCATTCCCTCGGACACTCGACAAACAAGCTCTTTTGTCGAGTGCTGCGAAAAAAATAATCGGCAAAATAATTGCACTCGGCAAACAAACTCTTTGTCGAGGGCTGAAAAAAAAACTCGGCAAAGAAGTAAGTTTACCAAGTGTTTTTTTTACACTTGGCAAAGAAGTAAGTTTGTCGAGTATTTTTTGGCACTCGGTAAAGAAATAAGTTTTTTCCCTCTTCTAACCTTGAAACTTTTTCTACACTCCACATAGAATATGTGGTACTCCATATTAAAATTTGGTATATTTCTGAATCTGTTTGCTATATTTAATTAATTTATTGTATTTCAAGCAATTTTTTGAATCAAGTCAAATTTGAACTGCAAGTGATTCAAATAATAGAATAAAATGAGTAGAAAAATGATATTCATGTTATTGAGTTCAGTGTGAGGCCTTACCTGGGAAATGAAAAGAAATTTCGAACATCTTTGTTCAGGAAACATGACCACGAACGTGTGGCCGAATGGTTTTTAAATTCTAAAAAACACAATCGAAGTCAGAAAATCATGAATTTTGTCATGATGTGATGATATCATACGTGGAGGCTGTGGTAAAAAATTGAGAAGGTTTCACACAATTTGTCACGTACGATGTTTATAAACCGAAGCATCTCAGAAGAAGAATCGTGGTGTTGAGAAGGATTCGGTAAGATTTGGAGTCAAAGTGACGGTCGAATTGCGGTTTGACTTCAAAACTTTTTCTATAGGCAATAGAGAACATAGATTGTTTCATGTGAAATTTTAGTAATTTTTTGGTTCCAGTTGATAATTTTAATTTATTAAGTGCAATTATAGAATTTTAATTGATATAAATTGAATTTGAGCTATAACTGCATGAAATAATGGAATAATATTCGTAGAAAAATCATATATATATTGGTGAGTCAATTTGACAAGGTATTTTCAAAGTACATCGGAACAAATTTAGAAAAACACGTTATGGAAAAGAAGGAAGAGGAGGGAAAAAAAGGTTTGCCGAGTGCCCCCAATCGGCACTTTAAGGCAACATCGCTTTGCCGAGAGTGTCGATTTAGGACACTCGACAAAACTCCTATACTATAACTCAAACACCATGCCGCCGCACCACACACACACAAACGCACCTGTCCTGCCCCCTCCTCCCTCCTCCTCTCTCCCCGCCCCCGCTAGCTCCCGACTCCGGCCCCCCTCCCTCCCTCTCCGCCCCATGCCCCGGCGGAGGGGACGGCACCCCAAGCCCCATCGGCATGGGCTGGGCTGAGGCTGCTGCCCCCGGCCGACAATGGTGGCGTGTGGTCCAGGGTGAGCTCCCCATGGGAGTGGCGGCACGAGGCCGCGAGGAGCTTCCCCATCGAGGGCGGCGGCACGCGGGCCTCTACAGTGAGCTCCCACGCCCTATCTCCCTCTTCTTACCCCTTTTACGCAGGCGCCATCGGCTCCCGGCCCTAGGGGACGACACCCCAAGCCCATCGACGGCGCGCGGGCCAAGGGCGACCTGCAGCCCCGTGGCCGAGAGCGGCGGCGTGTGGTCCAGGGGTGAGCTCCCCCCGCGGGAGTGGCGGCACGGGCCAGGAGGAGCTTCCCATCGGCACGCAGCGACCTGGGGCCCCTACGGTGAGCTCCCCCGCCCTCTCTCCCTCTTCTTACCCCTTTTGCGCAGGGACGTGGTGGTGGCGGCGGGCATGGTGGCGACCGCGGCGGCATGGTGGTGGCATCGGGCGGCGTGGTGGTGGCAGCCTGGTGGCGCGGTTTTTTTATATATTTTTCAAAAAAAATTTTGCCGAGTGTCGGTTTTGCACTCGACAAAGCTTGACAAAAAAACTCAGCAAAGACAACTTTGCCGAGTCATTGTTCGCCGAGTGCCGTTTGTCGAGTGTAACACTCGGCAAAGCATTTGCCGAGTGTTTTTTGGGCTTCGCCGTGTGGCCTGGACACACGGTAAAGCTACTGATTCCGTGTAGTGGAGGCGAGGTAGAGCGCAGAGGTGAGGCGCCGTGGGCCACGACCAGGCCCAGTAGGCTTCGACGGCGCCCAGTTAGGTCTCGCGGTCTCACCTCGCTCTCGCAGCTTGCGCAACTCGCCGTCGCTCTGCCGCTCGTCGCCTCCACTCCGCCCTCCAGGCTCACCGTCGCCGCTTACCAACTCACTGCCTCCGGCCGCCAGCAGATCCAGCGACCCCGCCGGGCGCCCCAGCCCCCAGCTGTTGTTGCTCGGCGCCGTCGCGCCGGCCAGCAGCCAGCTCCCAGGCGGCCGCCGCCTCTGCCCCAGCCAGCAGCCGCTGGCACTCCGCCACCGCCCGCCGGCCCTGCTTGGCTGCTTCAGTGCTTTCTGCTTTGGGAATTTGGTCATTCACTCATTTGGTGATTTCTGATTTGGGAATTTTAGGATTTTGGTGATGGATGGGGGAGCAGATGAAGTCGTTGTGGGTGGGGAAGAAGGAGATGAAGCTAGAGATGTGGTTCGTTCAAACACTGCCTGTGCCACCACGGTTAGACAAACTCTAGTTCCACTAAGCAAGAACCGTTATAAGAAACTAGGTATTGAGAAATCTGTGCTTGATTATTTCATTTGATTACAGATTGTCTGATTCAATTCATTAATTATGCATGAGATGAACTCTGACCGGTTTAATGCATGCATGTACTGCTCTCTGACCGTAGGAGAAGCTAACAACAACCTCCCTTGACTCTCCATTACCCTCTGTCGGTAGCTGTGTCATTTCTCTCTCTTGTTGCTAGTCCATTTCATTCCCATACATACACGGCCATGGGGCTTCATGGAACACGGGACAGCAACATCTCGCTCCACTCCTATATACGTGTCGCGTCTTCGTCTTCTGACTCTCCTCCAGTGTCCGTCGTCCTGCCTATTAATTAGAGCGCGCCAGGCCAACAAAGCCCTCCAGTGGTGGAGTGGGCGGTGAGCCGGGCGGCGAGGAGTGCGTTGCGTGGGAAGGACGCGACCTGCATCTGTCGGTAGCTAGCCATGGCGGGCACGCCGTCGCCGCTGCCGCGGTGGGCGCCGACGCCGAGCCCGTCGCGGCCGCTCTGGCGGCCCTGGGGCGGCGGCACGCCTGACGCTAACAACCATCATCAGCCCGGCGGCCGAGGCGGCGGCACGGGTAGCACCAGCTGGTGGTCGCTCGCGAGCGGCGTCTTCGCGTGGGGCGGCCGCGGGCGACACCGAGGCACGGCGTCGTCGAACGAAGCAGCAGCGGCCGGCGACGACAGAGCCTGCGGCGTCGTCCCCGGACGGTCGGGGTGCGAGCTGCAGGCGGTGGTGGTGCCATCGTCGGCGGCGGACGCCGACGACCCCAGGGCGTTCCTGACGTGGGAGGACGTGGGCGTGACGGTGGCCGGCGGCGGCCCGCGCGGGGCGCCCGACGTGAGGATCCTGGATGGGATCAGCGGGCACGCGCGCCCCGGGGAGGTGCTGGCCATCATGGGCCCCTCCGGCGGCGGCAAGACCACGCTGCTCGACACCCTCGCAGGTACGTGCGTGTGTCCGTCCCTTGGTCACGTACCCTCCTCATCTGTCGTCTCATCTCATCTCCTAGTACTGAAAGTACGTCCTCCTAACTACTAGTAACTACCCCTGCGCTACGCATGCACTGTCGAGTCCAAAAACAAGCAACAACAATCATGTCTCTACTGTTGGAGTCTTCTTCTAATTAATTAATGATTAATGACAAAACAATATATTCTCACTCACGCACTTCGTCCCAGAAAAGATGCAATTCTATAACAGTGTTTTCTTTTAAAGCAAACTACGGAGGGGGGGAGATTCCCCGTCTAGATAGCCAATTCTATAACAGTGTTTTCTTTTAAAGCAAACTACGGAGGGGGGAGATTCAGAGTTTGTGTAACTTTTTTTGAGACAGAGGTAGTATATATAACAGGTGGTGCAACTCATTCGTGTTTGACGTGGTGCAACTCATTCATGTTAGACGTATATGCACATAAACCTTGTCAGCTTGTATTTTTTTAAAACTTCCTCACACATGTGCTAATTTACGACATGGACTTAAAACTGAATGGCCTCGTTCGCTTTACTGAAAAGCCATGACTGAAAGTACTGTTCGCTGATTTGTTGTGAGAGAAAAACACTGTTCGTTCGCTGAAATAGTACGGCTCATAAGACAAGCGAACAGAACCAATGTTCCATGCAAGATAGGCCTGTTGGTTACTAAAATTGGGAGTCATGCAGTTCTTCGCGTCAAATAGATGGTCGTTTAATTATTGTCTTGGACTTTAGTTGTGAACTTGTAATGAGTTTATTTCTTGGTGTATGTGTGTGTGTTTTTGTTTTAAGTTTGGTCTGATGCTTCTTTCTTGAAAGAAGTTGAAGCCGGATTTTTCCATTATCTAAGAAAAATGCAAGATACGTATATGAGGTCCTTTGTTTGGACATGCATGTTTCATTCGAAATGGTCTCCCACAGATACAGAGGGGGAATTAAACAACTTGCGAGCTTAAAACACCAGCACTCCATACCATGCCAAGTAGTACCAGGACTAAGCAAAATACTACTCCCTCCGTTCCAAATTATAAATCGCTTTAACTTTTTTGGTTTATCCATTTTACTATGTATCTAGACATATTATTATATCTAGATGCATAACAAAATAGATGTACTAAAAAAGTCAAAGCGACTTATAATTTTGGAACGGAGGGAGCACAACATAAACCAAGATAATGTTGCAAAATCTACGCAGAAGTAGTTGCAACCATATATAGGCCATGTATGCTCCCATCATGGAGTATTAAATATAGACTAATTGCGAAACTAAATGCATAGATTGAGATTAATTTATTTAGACGATTTTTAAGCCTAATTAGTCCATGATTTGACATTGTTGTGCTACAGTAAATATATGCTAATGATGAATTCATTAGGTTTAATAAATCGTTTCATGGATTACTGAGGACTTCTGTAATTTGTTTTATTATTAGTATCAAACACTCGATGTGACACCCCATATAATATTAAATGTGACACGTTTCGTGGATTCAAACCCCCCCCCACCCCACCCCCACACACATGTGCTACAGTAATGCGGATTACCAGGTTGTTCACAGATCCTTGTGCTAGTTATGCAAAGTCGTTATCTGAATGTGTGGGGTTGTTCACATATCCTTGTGCTAGTTATGCAAAGTCGTTATCTGAATGTGTGGCATATGAAAACCATAGTTTCCTACTTGATGGGAGCACAATTAGTTACACAAATTTCCTTCTTTCCGTGTCATGTTAGCTGGAACCCAACAATTAATATCACTGTACCCCTATTTGCTTTAATGACTTCAACCGTGTTTTCCTCTCACAATAAATCAACATAAGCATCAATATAAATTAAATTTCAAAGCCTGACGTGTGTGCGCGTGCTCAGTGCTCACACTGAGAATGAATAATGAGCTCTTGTTTAGTTCGCGAAATTTGGAATTTAGGGCTACTGTAGCAACTTCGTTTTTATTTAGCAAATAGTATCCAAACATTGACTAATTAGGCTTAAAACGTTCGTCTCGCAATTTTCCACCAAACTGTGCAATTAGTTTTTCTTTTCGTCTACATTTAATGCTCCAGGCACGGGCCGCAAACATTCGATGTGACAGATACTGTAGCAACTTTTTAGACTTTTGGATCCAACTAAACAAGGCGTGAATGGCGTAGGATCCATCGCAACGTATATCCCGGCGCGCTGCCGTCCAAATTAATGCTTCCACTTCCGCAACAACTTGGCATTGACAGCATTAATTCCGATGGATCGTAGACCATTCATTATTCATTCTCAGGTGTGAGCACTGAGCACGCCCACGCACGTCAGGCTCAGCAGAAATCTTCTGTTGACGTATGCCGGCCGGCCGGCCCATTCCCAGTTCCATCACCCATCAAACAAAACATTGCTAGCTACTCCTACGTGAAGGACCACCCTACCCTACCTACTCTTCTTTTTTTTTTGAAAGAAAGGATAAAAGACTTGCTTTAAGTTTGATCATTCTTCTTCTTTTAAATTGTGTAGTCATGTAAGTAGTTCTTTTTTATACACTATGTGTAGATAATTTGGAACGGATAGAGTAATTAATTAGCTCAAATAACTTTGTACTCTTACTACTTATTGCAGTCATGAGCTATATTTGATTTGTGAGTCTAATGAAAGTCCACGTAGATGTTTATTTGTGGTTGTTCACCTATCCTTGTGCTAGTTATGCAAAGTCGTTATCTGAATGTGTTGCATATGAAAATCATAGTTTCCTACTTGATGGCAGCACAATTAGTTACACAAATTTCCTTCTTTCCGTGTCTTGTTAGCTGGAACCCAACAATTAATATCATTATACCCCTATTCGCTTGAACTACTTCAGTAGTATTTTTCAGCAAACGAACAGTGTTTTTCTCTCACAATAAATCAGTATAAGCATCAGCATAAGCCAAATTTCAGCGAAACAAACAGGGCCAAATGCGGGAAGAAAGGGTATAAGTGCTCAAACTGTCAAAGCTGCAGTTATGAAAAAAAAATTATAACATATATAATCTGCTAACCGCCAAATGAGGGTCGTCAACGGTAACTGAAATGATGGATCAGCACAAAATACTCCTCCTTCCAAGTGTTAGTGCATGAGTGCAGTATGGAAAAAAGATCATACTCGCACCATTTGGGAAAAAAAACAAGGCGTCTTTTGTTTTGAAAAAAGTAAAACTTTGGGATGTTCTGATTTCTGCTTTTGAGCGAAAGCAAACCGGAAGTTCCATGTCCTGCCGCTCATGAATGGAGAGGATAATAATACAGTACTCCCTCCGTCCCAGTTTATTTGCACGTCTGGAGTTCAAAACTTTTCTTAAATTAATCGATCATGTTTGGAGTAGTACTGGTATCTGTAACCTGCACTTCGTCTGAGGGAATAAAAGTTCGATTAAAAAAAAAGAAATGCAGAAAGAGCAGCGTAGTCTACTCCACACATTCAGTTTATCCACTGTTGCTTTTTTGTCTGTTGATGTGCCGGTGAAATTGTGGCCACACATTTCTACTGTATACTGTTGTTGGCTTTATTTTCTTGCTGCGTCAATCAACATTGTTCCAGTGACAACAGCTGCACTTTTTAGGGGTAGAATTGTAATTTGCCAGCTACAGTATTTTGCCCATTTTAAACCCTAAACGTGCATTTAAATTGGGATGGAGGGAGTAATTCCAGTAAAAACAGTACTTGAAACTGATACAGATACAAACTGCTCACTCATGCAACTACAGTACTGAAAAAATCATACAAGATAGAGTACCTTTGATGTGACAAGTAAGATGCCTCAAGTAAGATGGCTTGATACTGTCTACTCCGTATACGTGGTGACAACTACAGTACTCATGCAACTACCTGATTCTCCGAGCAGCTTGATACTGATTGGTCGATCATCAGCCTTTGCACTGCCGCATCGCATTCACCACCGGCATGTCACGGGAGGCTGGTGAACTGTCTACTCCGTATAACATTAACAGTAGGGTGTGCTTTTAATTAATTTGCAGAGACCTCCATCTGTCCCGGATAATCTAGTCTAGATTCTCCACCAAACAGGTTTAATTCATGATTGGAATAGTCCTTCCACTCACTGTAGTATCATGTTTTTTTTATTGTTTCATGCATGCATTTAGAGGAAACATAATCATGCATAATACGGGGAGTATTTGTGTTGGAAAAACAGACGAATGCCGCTGTCTGTCTCTCTTTTTCATTATTTATTTAATTATTTATAAGTCAACGGCTCATAAAAAATAATATTGGCATTGCACCATATCGGATGAATGAAAATGGAAGCCACTAGACACTTGGTTTTTCGTTACTGTGAGTGTAACCCTTGACGTTATTACCATTTCACTGCAGGAAGGTTAGGACCAGGCATGAATAAAACAGGGCTGATTTTAATCAATGGCCGCCTTGAGAAGCTTGCCTATGGAACCTCGGTAAGGCAAAATCACCTCTTTCTCTCGTAAACACTGATTGCAGAGGCTGTCATAGTTATTAGACAAATTTTCTCAAGGGCATCGTTCTTATATAGTATACATTGCTAACTTTTAAATTGTTCAGTACCATTATGAAAACGTGAATCTTTGTTTGTGGACACCGTAACCACTAAAATATAACCATTTATCCATTATCACGAGAGAGGTATGAAATGCCTCTTTTACCCTTCATATGCTATCTTCTTTCTACTCTTTTTACCTTTTCTCCTACCGGCGCCCTCTCCCCATGGTGCTAGTGGCTGGATGCCGCAGCTACTCACCTCTGCGCTAGCAGCGGTGCACCGCACTTCTAACTCCCACGTTGTTGAACACGCATTGGCGAGCTCTGCTGCTTGCTTTGATCGAGCCCCCACAGCCGCGGCTTTGCCTTGCTTGCCTTCGAGATCTTTCTTATTCGTGGGTCACTATGCTTGCGCTCCGTGTGCCAGCATCCTCCGCACCACTCACCTGTCCAACTCCCCTATGCTTCTCCACCCTACTCATCGTTGAGCTCTACCCCATGTGTGGGTTACTACACCTATGCCCCACACGCTGGCGTCCTCCACCCCACTTGCTGGCCTAGGTTTCGCTACCACACCTCCATCCCACTCACTATTGAGCCCTAGCCCATGTGTGGGTTGCCACGCCACTGCTCTATATATGCGCCGGCGGCCTTTTCCCTACTTGCTAGCGGCGAAGCCCCGCGGTGGCACCTCTAGGCTATGCATGGGTCTCCGTGCCAATAACAAAGCTTCAACCCACGTGTCATATGTCGCACACCACCATTTTAGCACCTTAGCTCATCCTCTCCATGGCTCTACCATCAACCTCTAGGAGCAGAGAGAGGGGGGTTGCTCTAGCATATCTTTGGTGGGTGTAGATAGAGGGTAGAGAGGAGGAAGGTAAAGTGGAGGACAAAAGAGACATTTTATACCTCCTCTCTTTATATGATGTTATTATTTTAATGGTTGCAATGTCTATGAGAAAATTTATATAATTTTGTAATGATAATAGACAAATTTAAGAGTTACATGCCTGTATCAGCAAATACCCCGTGAGAAGGTGAGCAAAATTTGCCTAATAATTATGAATGGTTGTTTCGAAACTTTTACATAAGCGGAATAAATCTCCTTCCTCTAAAAAAGTTTTCCTATAGGCACTGATTGAAATCTTTTTCATTAAGTTTGGTGGTTTCCAGTTCCCTTCTATTGTCATGCGTTCACTTATAATTAGCACATACTCCTACTCGATCAGTTCAATTATATTCAGTACATATGTATTTCATTCAATCCGGACTTGCTTACAAGTTAACTTTTTGAATGAATAAAACTGTATGTAAAACAAAGGCATACGTGACCCAAGACAACATGCTGATGTCGACGCTGTCCGTGCGGGAGGCCGTGTACTACTCGGCGCAGCTGCAGCTGCCGGACACGATGCCGTTGCCGGAGAAGCGGGCGCACGCAGAGCGGGTGATCCGGGAGATGGGGCTCGCCGACGCCATGGACACGCGCATCGGCGGCCGGATCACCAAGGGCATCAGCGGCGGGCAGCGGAAGCGGGTCAGCATCTGCATCGAGATGCTCACGCGGCCGCGGCTGCTCTTCCTCGACGAGCCCACCAGCGGCCTCGACAGCGCCGCTTCCTACCACGTCATGAGCCATATCGCTCGTGTAGCCGCCCGCGACGGCATGACGGTCGTCGCCGCCGTGCACCAGCCCAGCGGCGACGTCTTCGAGCTCTTCCATGGCCTCTGCTTGCTCGCCGCCGGAAGGACGGTCTTCTTTGGGACCATCTCTGATGCCACCGAGGTGACCCTGCTTCGTCGTCTTCTTCAGGCTATCTGAATAGCGAATTGTCAGCTGCTGACTTGTGCTAGCTCGTTCCTTGCATGCATGCAGTTCTTCACTCTGAACGGCTTTCCATGTCGACACCTGAGAAGCCCGTCAGATCACTTCCTGAGAACAATCAACAAAGACTTTGATGAGGTATATATACTCACTCCTATGGCTTATTTAGTACATACATATAATGTGCAACTTCACTTGTCATCTGTCTGAAATGATTTTATACATAGGAAACCGTGGAGAGCTCTAAAACTAAAAGAAAAACAGCAGCTGAAGCAATAGACATTCTGGCGACTGCATACAGATCCTCCGATTATTTCGAAAAAACGACAGACCAAATTATTGAAATGAAAAACATGGTAAGTTGAGCACCCGTCGCTACTAGAAACGAGAATACCCCTGACGGTGTGACGAGTCTTTTCGACCGTTGTTCAATAAACCAACAGGATAATTGTAATAGGTTTGACGGTGACATAATATCTAATACACATGAAAAAAACCACAGTGACTATAAAGAGCAATAATGAGAAATGTATAATTGACCAATCTAAGGATATTTTGACTGCATAAAAAATTACAGGACGTACGTGTCCTATATGTGTATTACAGGATGGAGCTTCATTTAGGAGGAGAGAACAAGCAAGCTTCGCCACCAAGCTCCTTGTGCTCACAAGGAGATCATTCCTGAATATGCACAGGGACATAGGATATTACTGGATGCGTTTGGCCATCTATATGGGCATCGGCATATGTCTAGGCACTATCTTCTACCAAGTTGGCTATAGCTACAGTTCTATCCAGGTAAAAACTGATTAACATGATTCAGGTAGGGCTATATATAGGACAAATATTTATTTGTCTATGTAAAAGTGATGATGTCTTGGAATTTGCAGAGCCGATGTTCAATAATAATGTATACAGTTGCACTTTTAACATTCATGGCTATTGGAGGATTTCCATCTTTTGTAGAAGACGTAAAGGTTGTCTCTTCACCCTTCCAAAAGTTGCTTATTTAGTTTCTTGCTCAAGACAAATTTATTCAAAATTACCATGAATTAACTTTCTGATATTGAAAATAAACAATACAAAATGTGTGGGATCCACTCATTTTGTATTAGGAGAAACTCTAACATGTAAGAGGGACCATACATAAACTTTTTTTGGGGGTGTGTGTGGGGTGGGGGTGGGGGGAGGGTTCTATTTTCCAATATGAATTGCTACACTTTTACCTTTAAATTCTAAACCAATTAGTGCAAGTGAAAAGTAAGTTCAATTTTTTATTAGCACATTATTGCTTCCGGTTTTATGACCTCAATTTTGCGCACATTTTTAACTACCACCACCATTCCCAACTTGTTTCAGGTCTTGATCAGAAAGGAGAGGCTTAGTGGCCACTACGGCGTGTCAGAATTTGTGATCTCAAACACCCTCTCAGCTACTCCATACCTGTCTGTCATTGCTGTATTACCCGGAGCAATGCTATACTATCTCTCCGGACTAACAAAAGGCGTGGATCACTTTATCTATTTCGTCATGGTCGTTTGCATATGTTGCCTTCTAGTTGAGAGCATGATGATGGTTATCGCCGCGATTGTTCCGGACTTCCTTATGGGAATCATCGTTGGAGCTGGAGTGCAGGGGGTGATGATGCTCAATGGGGGCTTCTTCCGCCTTCCTAATGAGCTCCCAAAGCCTGTATGGAAGTACCCTTCCTACTACATCTCCTTCCACAAGTATGCAGTGCAAGGACTCTACAAGAACGAGTTCATGGGACTGTCATTCCCAAGTGATCAGCTGGTTGAGTCTAATGTCACCATCAGTGGCATTCAGGTCCTCAAGGATAAATTGCAGGTGGAAATGGGTTACTCGAAATGGGTAAACCTTGCCATCCTTTGTGGAATGATGGTGATCTATAGGATGATGTTCTTTGCTATCGTCAAGATTACCGAGGAAATTCGACAAAAAATGGGAGGCAAACGAGGATGTGTTAGATAGTAGTTGCCTTCTGTATATGTCTTCCATTTTCCCATTCTTGTATCACTTTACTGAACTAATTGTATAAACTGCAAATAATGCTTTGGTTGTCTTGCAATGCCATCTTAAAATGGATGGTATGCTATATATATAATTTTTGAGCTCCATCATGGTATCCCATGATGTTACCCAAAGAAAACTTTACCATCGCTATGACATATATAGCTCGCCGGAGAAATGAGCCTGAACACGTCGTCGGCAAGAGCTTACTGCACGCATGAGCGCGCACACTCACATGATCACAGTGGAGAAACTTGAACACAATAAAAGCGATGGCCGGGCAACTGAAGTCTTATTTGGATACCTGTGTATCCACCTCAATCCATGTATGTTGGAGTGGTTTGATATTAAATTTAGTTTAAATTCCAAGGTCCATCCACCTCAAGCCCCGAGGGCAAGGATAACAATATAGCCGGTCGCTGGCTATAAGGTTTCTTATCTCTTCACTATTAATACATGGTCCACTTGTCTCTCTAACAAGGTTTCTTGGTTCTTTTACCTAAAGCCGTCTCTCTCTTTCACCTCAGCATTTAGTCAACTTACAACCTCTTATTATACTTGCTCTGAAGTAAGTTTGTAGCTATTGTTCATTAGTTCACACTACTAGAAATGTGTTCATCAATGACGATTCACTCGTGACGATTACTAATTTTGTCACAGAATGAGAGCATTCTAAGACGAAATGTGCAGGTTTGTCATTAGTCACAAGTGACGGAGCTTTGGCACGAAGAATAATGACGAAAACGAAATAATCGTCATACAATAACAAAACTAAATCGTCATTGATTGTTTGGCTCGTGACCAACCTCGAGGACATGGGTCCAGCTGGACCTGCAGCCTTCCCCCTCCATTTTTTTTTTGCAAAAAAATAGCTCACTGAGTGAGCTTCGAACCCGCAACCTGCTGCTAGGTTGATAGGTGCCTTACCACTGGAGCACTCGGCCTTTTGTGATAAAAATATGCATATATTTTTTTATTTGTAAACTCCATGGTAATTGAATCATAGATGATGACGTGGCGCCGTGGTCCCACCAGCGGGTCCCACACCGAGGACGTGGCGGAGCGGTCCCACCATCGGGTCCCACGTCGATGACGTGGCGATGCGGTCCCACCAGCGGGCGTGGTGGCGAACACGTGGCGCTGCGGGCCCAGGGTATAGCTCCACCAGCGGCCTGCCCCTCCCTTTTAATTTTTGCAAAAATAATCCCCCGTAGGGGGAATCGAACCCGCGACCTGCCGCTAGACAGGGAGGAGTCGTTACCGCTGGAACTCCCGGCCTTTTGTGTTTATGGCTAGCCTGTTTTTGTATTTGTACTTAGAACATGATATCATGTTTTTTTTGTTTTGTCGATCGAGTTGATGGGCCATACGTGCGTGGCGGCTGGTCGCGTAGACGTCCCATACGTGCGTGCATAGGTATCGTGGCACCGCCGTAGTTCTTCTCCTGGGAGGCCGGTACCGATCTGGCGATCTACGTGAGCCGTCGCTCGTCGCTGGCCAGTACCAATCTGGCGATCTCCATGTCCTTCTCCCTGCGTCCACACCGACACCGTCGTTGTCGATCGCACGCGATGAGAGAAAGCAGCGAATGACGGCAAGTAGAAGAGCTGCGTGGAGCGCGAAAGAGGATTGCCAGTACAAGGTTTGATTTGTTTATCAATTTGTTTTTTATATATGCATGTCTTTGATGTGTTTTTGAATTTTGTTGAATTTATTACTGAATTTAAGGACTGAGTACAATGTACAGATGGATAGAAGCTGGATTTTTGGGACACAATTCACACTGCATATGTGAAAGGAGTTGAAGAGTTCATGAAATTTGTCGATTGAAAGATACCCGAAGACAGCCACATACTTTGTCCGTGCAGCAAATGTCTTAATCAAACTCTGCGGTCTCGTGGATGATGTAAGTGACCATATACACATTTATGGGATGTCGACTACATACACCAGGTGGATTCATCATGGGAGTCGGCAAATACTATAGTAGTTGAGAATTTGGAGCAGCCGGAGGTCGAAGGAAGTGATCATGACTTTGGGATACATGTGGATGTGGCCGATGATGATTATGATGAGGATCACGGAGTACCGAGATGATAGGAGAGATCAGTATGTTGCGGCAGAGGCTGATGGAGAACAACCAAGGTTTGCAAGAGTCCTTGAAGATGCAAAAGAAGTCACTTAGCCCGGGATCTAGCCATTCGAAATTCTCTTTTCTGGTGAGGATGTTGTATATCAAGTCTCGTTATCAAATTGGCAATATAGGATTTTCCATAATGATGAAGCTGTTATCATCAGGATTCCCTCAGAGTGAGTTGCCAAAATCATATGATGAGGCCAAGAAATATCTTGGAGAATTGGGCCTTGGTTACGAAAACATCCATGTGTGCAAGAACAATTGTGTGTTGTTTCAGAAGAGGTATGAAAAAGAGAATGTGTGCCCAGTATGCAAGACGTCTAGATGGCAAGATGAAACTGGGAACAAGAAGGTTCCACACAAGGTATTGAGGCATTTTCCACTTTTGCCAAGGTTGAAAAGAATTTTTGCTTCAAAGCAAACTTCTGAGGAAACACAATGGCACAAGAAAAAGAGGATGCCAGTCGACAATGTAATGAGCCATCCAACTGATGGAGAAGCATGGAAGGACTTCGACACGAGGGAACCATCCTTTGCAGATGATCCGAAGAACCTGAGGCTTGCCTTAGCTACCGATGGATTCAATCCATTTGGCAACATGAGTACGTGATGCAGTACAGTATGTGGCCAGTGCTTCTGACACCACTGAATCTCCCACCATGGGAATGCGTGAATCCAGCAAACTACTTTATGTCTTTACTCATCCTAGGTCCAAAATCTCCAGGAAAGGATTTTGATTTGTTCCTTGAGCCCCTAATTGAAGAAACCGCTCGATCTATGGAAGGGTGTCGATTTCACGATGCATGCACTTTGGTCGGAAGTTTAACCTTCGTCTTTGCCGTGTTGTGGTGTATACATGATTTTCCAGCGTTGAGCACGTTATCGAGCGCGAACAATAAAAGGGTATTATGCATGTATTCATTGTGATAAGGATCCGTTGTCTCGGACAATAAGGAATAAGATATGTTACATTGGACATCGTCGTTACCTTCCAAGGACACATGCATGGCGGAGAAGCTTGGCTTTCGATGGTAAGCGTGAAAACAAAGAGCAACCAGGAAAGTTCACTTTGGAGGAGGTCCTAGAGGAGCTAGAGAAGGTGAAAGATGTCAGGCAGGGGAAGCATCTAAAGCCTTGCATGGACACCTCACTTTTGGTGTATAATGATGACAAAAAGTTTCAACTAATTCTAACAAAGTGGTCGGGATCATCCTGACAAAGTCATACATGTCTAACATATATCCCTCTAACTAAGTGAGAGATGTTCATGGTTGTACGTGATGTATAGTACCACTTTGTAAAAATCCTTTGAAATTTTTATGTCATGATCATACACCAAAATAAGGTGTCCGTGCAAGTTTTTAGAATTTTCTACATAACTTAAGGTATTGTAGCTTTTATCCTTTAGTTATTCAACAAATAACTAAGATAATAACTAAAAAATGTAATAAGAAGTTTCAAAATAAATTGGGTACCATAGGGTCTTCCGGGAGGGAAAAAATGCCACCAAAAAAAAATGCCGCAAAAAAAATGCCGCCTAAAACTGATTACCGCTAATTTAGCCAATACCCCCACTCCCTCCTCACCCCCGGCCACTCGTCCTCTCCCCCACATTTCTCCAACCCTAGCCGCCATCGCAGGAACACAACCGCCGTCACCGAGGTGCTTCCTCGCCCGCGAGCTGTGTCGTCGTGGACTAGGGGTCGCCCTCACCAGGTCCGCTTCCCCGTTGACGACCACCGCCGACGAGCACCAGGTCCGCAATGGTGGCAACCAGGGGTCAAGGTAGGAAGATACCTGCACAACAAGATCAAGGTAACCATTTGGCTATAGATTGAGTTAGGCGTATGTGATTTATTTTGCTTTTTGTCTTTCCAGATTTTCCTGTGCAATTAGTAATGCATTGTGAACCCAATTTGTCTTCCCAGATTTTCCTGTGCAGTTAGTAATTTAACTTTGAATGTGAACCCAGTTTGTCTCCACTCCATTTTAGTACAGTGATTTCTAATAACTATTTATAACGAATGTACTCAGATCTTGAAAGGCATGAAGAATAGTCATAAGTGATAATGCTGTATAATTTCTCTCGCTCAAAAATTTGAATCATGTTCCTGTAGGTTCATCTCCTAGCTAGGGAGCCGTATATTTCTAGTTTCTTGAATCCTTGCACCTCTGCATTTGGAGCCTTTAGGAGGTGTTTTTGGTCCTATTTGCCTCCCCATTTTGGTTTCAGTAGTCTAAACTTTAGGAGCTGATCCTTAGAATTTGACCCAACAATCAACATATGTATCTAGAATTTCTGTCTGTCGTATCTTGATCTGTCAGATTAAGATTTGCTTCATCTGTATATCTGAATCGTTTTCAGCTATTTTTGTAGTTTTGAGTATTTGGTCATTTCTTGCTAGATCATGGTTAAGCACCCAAAAAATTTTCTTAGTTTTTAATCAACTGTGTCAAAAGAATATTAGAATGGTTCTATTGCACAACTGATACACTATTTCATCTTAAACTCATATAGCAAAGAAACTTCTCATTTGTAAAATACATGATCCCACCAGATGCCTTTCCTTCCACTTGGGGAATAAATCCTTTTTCAGAATCAGAAATGTAGCAGAGTGCATGCAAGTGTGTTGATTGGAAAATAGTAGTTCAGTACAAGCTATCTTCAAAAATTTCACAGATTTTAGAGTAATTGTGCTTCAGTACACAAATACATGTACCTCTTAGTTCTTTCTGACCTAATATTTTTTGCCTATAACCTATCACCTCTTATCCCTTAGCTCTTCAGCAGGCACTACTAGCTCCTACCTATTATCTATCTACC